TTGAACCAGGTAATTGCCTGACATTGTTGCTATAACTTTAGTTTGTTTTAATTTTAATATTTGCATTTTGTTTTTATTCATTTGTTGTAGCATTCAGCAGAATCTGTATGACAGACAACATACACTAGGTCGCACTTGTGAAATATGATTCATGACGGCAATCTATAAAATGCATAGATATTACAGTCATGTTATAAATTCACTATAAGTATAAGCAGATCGTGTGCTTTTTTATTCAGTTTCAAAATGCATACAAATATGATAATAAACTACTTAGGATAATTAGAGAAAATATACATACGTACATTGACTTCGTTATTTTTCAGTCCTAACAGTTTTTACCACTGGCAGATGATTAAACTTCAAAATGGTTTCATTTGTTTTCATAATAATGAAGTAAAAAGACTTCATTTTTGTTGATCAGTCTGTACTTATACTATCAATTGCACACGCGGGTGGCGCAGCAGAGATCACAAACCAGTCACAAATTATGGGATATCATCCGGGTACTCACGGGAGAAAAACAATACCAAAGGCAACAACCAGTCCCCGGAAATTGCTCTGGATCAGAGCCCCTTTAAATAGTAATGGCCAATATTAATAGATTACCACTTGGACATGTCCATAGATTATGCAGTTTGTGCTTGAAGTTGTTGTTCAACAGGACTGCTACCCCCCTTTATTGTGAATTATATGAACTAAAGAAACAGTCAAAGCCACATTCTGACTGAATGTATGGTTCTATGTTTGCAGAAAAATTAGTATCCTGTAAAAAGTTTACTGCAGGGCTTTTAGATCTCTGAACATTAACAAGAGTCATCAGAAGATGACAAATCCCCCTGGACCCCCATAAATTTGAAAGAACAAATTAACTGAGAGTTACTTAAAGTCCAACTTGATTTTGGGGAACTAAGTCCAAATCGTTTCCATGGAAATCATGAAAAATTAAAATGCCAAAATTCTGCACATAGCAAAAGGCAATACTTCAAGATCTGTTTGATATATCTGTCAAGTCTTGTAGAAATATATTGAACGGTTTTCGAGTTGTGCTCCGGAAACAAAACCCACCCCTCCCTTTTCAGACTAAGTCCGAATCCTTTCCTTTGAAATCGAGAGAAATAAAAATGCCAAAAATCTGTAAATAGGCACCACTTTAGGTTCTGTTTGATATATATCTACTAAGTCTTGCAGAAAGATATTGAACGGTTTCCGAGTTTCGCTCCAGAAACGAAGCGACCTCTCCCTTTTGAGACTAAGTCTGAATCGTTTCCACGAAAACCTGGAAAATAAAAATGCCAAAAATCTGCAAATGGCAAAAGGCACCACTTTGGGATCTGCCTCACATATCTGCCAAGTTTTGCTGAAAGATATTAAGAAGTTTCTGAGTTGTGCTCCAGAAACGAAGGCCACCCCTCCCTGTTAAAAATGACAAAAATCTGTAAATAGCAAATGGCACCACCTTAGGTTCTGTTTGATATATGTACCAATTTTTGTTCACAAATATTGAACGTTTTTTTAGTCATGCTCCAGAAACAAAATGATTACGGACGGACGGATGGACGGACGAGGCGTGGACTATATCCCCCCCACATTACATGCCGGGGGGATAAAATAAGTGGTATCGAGTGATCGAGTCTGCCATGTTTGTCCTTCACCTTCAATAGGCTCGCACCAATTCAGGCTGCTCTCTGATTTGCTATCTGTGTAATGAAAATATAGGTATGTCGATTCAGTTTGCTTCGGTTTACTTGCCAATAGGTTCACCATCGTGTTGGTAATCTGTACCTTGGATGCTCTATCACCCTTTCTGCCACAATAAGAGCAGTTAGTAGGCATTTTGGACATAGCATGTTAACCGATTATGTAGCCATAATCAAGACTTCACATCTCTACTACTAGCGCCATACCCGAAGTCCTTTGGCCTTTTATTAACATGGGATGCAACTCACATAAATTCACTCACTGATTACTAAATGCCAAATATCTTGAAAATCAACATCCAAAATGAAAGAGTATTTAAAGTTTACATGCAACCAAAAAAAACAAACATAATTAAAACACAATTATCATTTATTCATGACATATAATATACGTTTCCGATCATAAAAAAAAATATATACAAAATTAAAACGTACAATTGCAAATCAAAAGTGCAATATTTTGTACTTGGGTTTACTACCCTCGAAACGAAGCAGCCAGGATACCGAAACCAGTCAGAGTGGGTGGGCGTGCACTCAAGTGTAATGAAGCCTTTCATTGGCTGGTTCATTTGACGATACACTCAGGTGTGTGTATATAGAGATGTTGGGTTTTGTAATACATGCTCATTTTTTTCTGCATTTGCATTTGATCCAATCAACAAATACTGAGATGGTGAACATTACATATTGTGACAGAGACAGAACTCAAGTGCACAAGCCATTTATTGGGTACAGCCTGATAGGTGGTAAGTTCAAATTGCATGTGGTCAGTGACTGAAGTTGTGTATTGCATATTGTCATAAGCAGACAGGCAGGCAGACACATACGTGTCAATACAACATACATTGTGTTTTGTCTGTGGCAGAGGCTGCTTATCACAATCAACATGTTTTTTTCTATGTTCCCAATGACATGAATTAAAACATTTCAGTTTTCAAGATGAGCATTTTTTAACAATGACATTAGTACTTCTAATGCTACACTTTCTTGAAAACTTGGTTTGCAAATCTGCCAACTCCCAAAAAGCAAGATGTGAAAAAGATAAGAAAAAGTATGGAACCAGTGTATTTATTTTCTGCAGACCCAAGATGCTTGTAATCACAAGAAACATCTTTTGTTCTCCAACTTCGACCACAGTGATGATCCTTGCACGCATCACTTGCTGTGTTTTTATGAGTCACCTTCTTGGGAATAAACCATCCAGGCATCCCGGTTCAAGCCACACAAATCTAAACATTGCGCATGCACTATGTGCGCAGTGCAGCATAGCTGTTGAAACCACTTTTCACCGCAGCTGGGGTGAAATTAGTGAAACATTAGAACTCTGATTTCGCTGTGTTTTTTCGTTGTGTTATTTTTCAACTTTCTAAGTTGAATTTGCATTTTTGATAACTTGTTACCGTAAGTCCATACCAGGGATACTCTACAACAGGGATAGGTCACTCGCTTGCTTTCTTTACCATTTGTACTAATTAGCGTGTGCCTCGTCATGCTCCAACGCACACAGTGACTTGGTTCGGTCCCAGCGCAACTTCGGCTGCGTTTAACAGTACTTCAGCCAGTGTATTGTATAGGTCGGAATTTTACAATGAATGAATGAATGAAGAGCAAGAATTTTATGTGAATGAATGAAAGAAATTAAGAAAAAGAACAAAAGAAAAAGAACATATGTGAATGAATGAAAGAATAAATGATACACCACGGCCATCCCTCCCCAAACATGTTAAAGAACGCAAAACTATCGGTACAACACGTGTTAACATCAGCTGTCCTTTTTCATAAAAAAATACTTTGAGACATTTTTTTACATTGGTAACTAATTCAGATATCGCATTGCATGTGTGGAATGACATGGGCAGTGACAGAATGTTAACTGACACTGTCACAGACCCCTCAAGAACAGAAAGTTTAGAACTATCACAAAGCCTTGCAAACACCTTTCCAGTTTTGTCAAATACTAAGATCAACAAGAAAGAAAGAAGTTTTAGAACTATAACACTCAAGCATCACAAGCACCAATGGTATATCAGAACAGATCGTGATATGTCATATTTTCACACACCTCAAATACACACTAACAAAAAAAAATTAAAACTATCACTATTACTTGCAAAAACTTTCACCTGATGGTATATTCCCCTCATAAAAAATATAAGGTGTATGTGAAAGATGTTTTAGAACAATAACTAGAAACACTCAAACAAGCAGCCTGTAGTATTTCAATGGCAGATCGTGATATGTCATATTTTTCACACACCTCAAATACACACTAACAATTTTTTAAATTATAGAACTATTACTATTACTTGCAAACACCTTTCACCTGATGGTATATTCCCTCATAAAAAATATAAGGTGTATGTGAAAGATGTTTTGAACACTAACTAGAAACACTCAAACAAGCCCTGTAGTATTTCAATGGCAGATCGTGATATGTCATATTTTTACTCACCTCAAATACACACTAATTTTTTTAAATTATAAAACTATCCCTATTACTTGCAAACACCTTTCACCTGATGGTATATTCCCCTCATAAAAATTGAAGGTGTATGTGAAAGATGTTTTTGAACAATAACTAGAAACACTCAAACAACGCCCTGTAGTATTTCAATGGCAGATCGGCGATATGTCATATTTTTCACACACCTCAAATACACCCTAACAAATTTTTTTAGTTATAAAAATATCACTATTACTTGCAAACACCTTTTAACTAAAGGTATATTTCCCTTCTAAAAATTAAACGAATATGTGAAAGAAGTTTTTAGCGATATAATTCAGTCTTTCTTCGCTGTGTACTGAGAATTGAAGCCAGTGATTTAACATGCCCACTTGAAACTTTACTACAAAGCTGCTGTACTTATACTGACACTAATAACAAGTATTTGACTTAAAATGAAGTGACAGAATAGGTTACTTATCTTCTACATGTAGTTTTTCAGTTGTCACAACACTCAGCGTATGTAATCAGCTGTTGAAAATAAACCGGGCTCAATCTTAAAAACTACGCTTCCGCCATATTGGCTGCACTGGTCACGTGACGAGCCGAGGCATAGCTTAGGAGCTTTCCGAGGAGTGACCACTCCCCCTTATAGAGTCTCCCTGTCCATACCGAAAGGTATCAGAATCTGCAAAGTTGTGTTTTGAGTTGCATGTGAGCTTTAACCTTATTATCATAACCTTCAGAGACAAATAGGTATCTCTTTTTCATACCAGGTCTGTCTGAGTACAACTTGGATCAATCAGAAGAACAGAGAAAGAGATGTTTGTAGCAAAGGAACTTTTGAGGGAACTTACTTTGTGTCTCTTCTGGGGAAATGTTTATGCAGAGAATCCAAAACAGGACAGGACTTCTTTTCTCTATCTGGTTGTATCAAAACTCCTGGTATGGTGTGTTTGTCTAGCTTTAGGTAAAACCTTGTGATGTTGTTGTCTCTCATGGCAGCCATTATGAAGATAAGTACTACAGGGCCATAGCTGCTGTGGCTATGTTCAAATAAGGCAAGATGGTCTGTCAATGGTTTCATGAAATCCATGAAAATCTGAAAAACAAAATGCAAATATCGTATTTTCAACAAGAAAAGCTACAAGTAGAATATCAGGCAGTTACCTTGTTTGTTGAATAGATTGTCAGTATCCACAAATAGGAATAATATCACATACATCTAAAGCTGAACAAAGAAACCTTTGCAATTAGATAATATTAAAATATACTGTGAATCACGAATTTTTTTGCGTCACGATACTTTTGCGGGTGGTGATCAACAGATGTTTTTGGGTCAAGGTATTTTTTGCAACTTGACTAATTGCCTAATAAATTGCAACTGAAAGTTTGACCTAAAGGAAATACAATCACATATTAAAGGTTGCCGGTAATCTTGAACTGAGCTCAGTAGAGTACTTCCGTGTGTATGCAATCAGTGATGTTTTCCTAGCAACAATACATGCTGCATAGGCCAGATAAGCTTAAAACTGTGATGAAAGATCAGTTTCATCATTGTACTATGGCAGATTGATATTGCCTCATATTTTTTCAAGTATGGGACAGTTTGGCCCATCACCATCCAGGCTTCCCACAGTCTTGCTATTTTGATTGCTTTGATCATGGCTGCTGAAAATAATGTTGATTCAACATGATCTTGCCATCAGTTCACACATACTTTGAATGAACTGAACATAAAAAATAATGGAAGGAATTAATAACACTGCTTACAACCATAAAAATATACAATGAACACTATATTACAGATTTGTTTACATTGTCGTTATGCTCAAGTATCTTGCATTAGGAAAATAAATCAAACGCCAATTATTATGTGTACCAGTTGTTCCTTTTGCACATACTGAAGAAAATACAGTACCTGCTGTCTAATTTCATCACTGTTCTTGAAATCCACAAGTTGTACAGACAGTCCTGAGAATACATCTGTCAGAGTTTGCAGTAATGCTTCGGCTGTCTCTGTTTCCCCAGGCACTTGCTTCTTGATGGTAGATATGATTTTGTCAGGTGGAGGGAAGAAAATACTTAAAACAGTCTTCATGTCATCCACAATTCTTGCTGGAGTACCACCTACTCCAAACAGGTTCTTGAGGAAACCATCATTTTGTTTTGGATACACTAATCCATCATACTGATGTAAAGGATCTGTTTAAAAAGAAATGGACATGGGCAAATATTTATTGAAAGACAATACTGCTACAATTTCAAGTTTAAAGCTTTAGATTACTAATTTTGTACTTCAATAAATTAAGGAGGTGGAAGTTCCTTGATTCAAATGGGACTAAATCTCTGAAGTTAATTATCAAAGCAATCTATGAGTATGGGCGATGATGAATTTTATTAATTTAAAAACATCCTATTAGTAACCAGACAAACCAGTGGTTAACACCATAAGCACACCTGTCATCTAGATCACACACTGTAATGATCCAATCTTCATTAGTCTGTAGTTGGGATCCACTTTAAGAACATCATGAATAGACACCTCACTTAGCCGATTTGTGACTAAGGAATTGTGAATAATTAAGCTTTAGAATCTGCTCTCAAGAATAAACAGTAATATTCTTCACAATCATTACATACCAGTGGTCTGTCTCCTTTGTTTTGGGACAGTAAACTTTCTGTTTACAATTCCATTTCTCTTCTTACCAAAGCAGACAGTTTCGAAAGATTCTTTTCTGGCATCAGCAACCACTTTGTACTTGTACTCAAAGCCGCCATTTCTAATGTCTTTGTTCATTGTCACATTGCATGAGTATTCATGGTAACCTTGGTGGCACCTACATGAAAAGATATGCATGAGAATACACATAAAATACAAATAAAACTTACAAAGTGCACCATACGTACAATAACAACAAGCAGGGCTAGTTTAAGTATGTTTAACTTTTGACTCGTACTACTAAAAGTTTGCTAAGGATCAAGTTTAATAACATAAAAACATCATCCAACAATTAAATATCGAAATACAGTCAAACTTTGATGTGTCCAGCCTATGGTTGTCACACAGTAAAACCATGGTCCCTGAATATTATTTAGTCATCGTTTTGCAATTGTATTGAACCTTGGATAGCTCAAATTATTTACTTCATGTCATTATCAGAGAGTAGAACAACTCCTGGAACTGAATACATGTTGTTTGATGACTGAAGAAATAGGCAGGTTCACCTGTTGAATGTGCATGTCATGTCGTAAACCTCCTTGGTGTCACCCTAAGTGTAATCAGCAGGGAATGGAATCAAAACCAGACTTTTGTATCACGCAGGTGGTCTATAGGGTTCGACCACATAGCTGGAAGATAGGTTTCTTGTGTCTGCAGCAAGACATCATCACTTAGTGTCTGCCACGACATTCCTACTGATCCCCTACCTGTCCCCAGGTACCTGGTATGGTAAATCAACCTGACTTGAATGTAGGAAGCTCTTAGCTTATTTTATGACCAGTGGGTATTGTCTGACTATACACATTGCAATCATAATAATCAATAGGGCCATGAGGGAGTCTCAGAACTGCTTAAATGGCCATTTGCTGATTTGAAACCTGTGGGTTACTGGGTTACAACCCAGTCATTCTCAACATAGGTGAAGCCAGAGGCCCAGATCAGCTGCGTATCCGGGTAAACTACGCATAGAAAAATTCCAATTATGCATTGAAAAATAATTCTTGCGTACCAATTACGCATTTAAAACGTCAGATACGCAAAAAGTTGAAATCTAAATGCGTACAAAATATATTTATAAAAATCACTTGCGTAATGAAAAAAGACATCGATTGCTATCAAGTTGTACTGTTAGTATAGGACTAGTGTTGTACTGTCAGTATAGGATGACTGATTTTTTATGAAATCATTTCCATTATATTTAAGTTGGTTTTGATTAGGTATGACATAAGGCATGACATACCTGCTTAGTAAACTTACTCAATGACATAATACTTAGGTGAGTAAAATGACTGAAATATGCACATATTTGAAAGCAGTGGGTAACTGAAAATATAATACCCACTCAACATTCATAATATCCACTTCCAAACAATACAGTGGGTACAGTACCCACATGAGCTAAATCTTATCTGGAGCTCTGTGAGGCCATGGTATTGTACACCGTATCAACTCTGAAATGGATCTTAGAAGTGATGATAGAGACACAGAATACTTAAAGGTCACATGCAACGTAAAACACAACTTTGCATATTCTGATACCTTTCGGTATGGACATACCGAAACAAATCGTCAAAAATGCAAATTCAACTTATAAAGTTGAAAAATAGCGATGAAAAACCGCTGGCTGAATCGGGTATCAAGCGTTTCACTAATTTTCCCCAGACTTTTCTGGGGAAAGCGGGTTTCAACACTGGGCTCGCTCATAACACGTCTTGCAAGTAAATAGGTTCAGCGCAGCTTGGAAGCAGGTTGTCGGGTGAATACTTCGGTGAAGGCTTTGGTGTGAGCTATTTTTCTAATGTTTTGTTGATATCTCACTGGTAGCGAGCTTTTATACGTTATGACAGTAAATTAACTGTTTATATAATTTCATTTGTCTATTTCACCACACGTTCTTCTTACCGAGACACTTTCTCAGTTCGATGCTTAAAAGCAATGTCATTATTTAGCGTTGACAGAATTTCTAACTGTGATATAGATATGTGGGTTGTCACAGACAAAACTCAATGTCTTGTTTTATTGACACCTGTGTGTCTGCCTGCCTGTCTGCTAATGACAATATTCAATACACAGCTGCTATCACTGACCACATGCAATTTGAACTTAACACCAATCAGGCTATACACCATAAACAAAATGCATTGATTTATGGCCCGAGTTCGGGTCTCTGTCACATTATGTAATTACACAGACAGGCAGGTGTGATACTTGAACACATGACATGTTATGATGTCTGTTGATTGCAAAATGTTATACACAAAAAATGAGCATGTATTTACAAAACCCAACATCTCTATATATATATATACACACAATTAGCCGTGAAGGCATCTGCAAATGAACCAGCCGTTACACTTGTGTGCACACCCACCCGCTCTGACTGGGTTCGGTATCCTGCCTGCTTCGTTTCTTGGGAAGTAAACCGAAGTACACAATTTTGCACTTTCGATTTGCGATTGTACGCTTATAATTTTGTTTATATATTTTTTCGTAACCAGCAATGTATATTATATGTCATGAATAAGTGATAATTGTGTTTTAATTATGTTTGATTTTTTGGTTGCATGTGACCTTTAAGACATATATTCACACTCTGGAAACACTGGATATAGCCAGTTATACTAACCCGATATGAGTCATTTTCCACTTCTTACTAGTCCACCCTCCAAGGGGATCACAGCCAATAACTAAATAAATTTCATCCTTTTCTTGTTTGACCTTGAAATCTTTTGACATTACAGCATGGAAGATGACCTCAAGCTCTTTCCTGCAACATGACACAATCAGGGCATGTTGCATTTTTAACATGAAGACATGGAACATTTTTAACTTTTAAAAAATGATGCATGGAGAAATTGTCAACAGTTCAAAATATTGACACTGCAAGTCAATTATATCAAAGCTATTCAACATTGCTATTCACATATTATGTACATAAACATTCCGACCAAACGCAATTACAAATATATATGAAACAAGCAACTAATTCCTACAAATTTTCTACACCAGCAAGAATGAATGGACATGATGTACTCTTGTTTCACACAATTCTTCTCTTTCAATAGTCAAATTTACTTAACAGAAAACTTTGATTGGAGACTCTTGAAGAAATGAAGTGTCATCATTGGTGGGAACAAACACGTAACATTGCCCATTGCTATATTTGTCCATAGATTGCTGGTGAGACATAGCTTCCAGAGTCTTAAGCACAGTTTTAGAATTTAGGAGCAAAGGTAAAGTAAAAATTAAAATGTAAATTATAATTAAAAAAACAAATTATTAAAGAGAAGTAATTTGTGAATCTGATTCCGCTCCATGATACCCTTTCATAATCCACCCAGTAACTGTAGGGAATATAACCTTCCACCCTTGAATCTGACTTTTGTATCTGATGCCATGTGAACTGTACAACATGTGCTCTTGAGTGAGGGTGTGTGTGACACCTTGATGCCATGCAGCTGTATTTGATACCTGAACCTATGAATTAAACTTATGAAACCAGAACCAGCATTTACTATTTTGCATGGTCCCGTGAGCCGGAGAGCTGGATATTTTGAACTTTGTGAACTTTGTGAAATATTGGAATTATGGCCAGTAAAAGAGAGAGAAGGCCACCAGCCTATCTTCAGGACTATGTGTGTGAAACTTTGCCTATCCCTAACACTGAGGATGTAAATAAGGACAAGAGTGTTCATACTGGAACATTGGAAGAGGATTTAGGAGCAGTAGGAGGACTCAGTCTTATGTCACAGAAGTCAACTAGAGTGTCAAGGAATTAGTAGAATTCAGGCACAGATGCAAGAAAGGAGAGCTTTGAAAGAAAGAGAGCATTTTCAGATGGAAGTCTCCCGTAAGAGGCAGGTACGTCAAGCAGAGAGGATGTTAGCAGAAGTAGAACTGGTTGATCAGTTGCTTGATCATAACTCTGCCATTGTGATGCCTAAAACTGAGCTCTCGTTGTCTCACAAGTCTCTGCTTGACCTAAACGCAGCAGTGTTTACATCCTTACTTCCAGATAATGAATTGAGTAATGAGATCAATCCTCAACGTGGAACCCAGACTGGATTTGATGACAATTACACTCATACACCTGACAATTTGCCATCTAATTCTGGTTTGCTTCCTCAAGTCCGGCATGTGACACGTTCCCCAAGGTTTGACTCCAATACTCAACAAAGCTTTCTTTCTCACCAAGAGCCACAGCCTCCTAATCAACATTACATGACAGAACGATTGGTTGCCTCATCCTACGGAATCCCCCAGCCTAAACTTCCATTGTTTGTTAATGGTAAGGAGAGAGACCTCGTTACCCTGAAGATGGCTTTTGACAGTATTGTAGATAGCCACGTCCATTTGTCAGAGCAGTTTAAGTTTCAGGTGTTGCTGGATAGACTGGGTGGTTCTCCAAAGCGCCTTCCCGAGGCTTTCTTGTATGACTTGAAGCCCTACATTAGTGCTATGCAAGCTCTAAAAGAAACTTATGGTCAGCCAAGACAGTTGGTCCAAAGTGAACTAGCCATGATCATGAACCTTCCTACTGTGAGATACAATGACTTTGACACATTTGAAAATCTCGCTCTTTCTGTACATACACTTGTTGGAATGCTTCGTTCCCTTGTGGGTGACAACGGTTTTGAACTTAGATGTGGGTCGCATGTAGATCGTCTTTTGAGTAAACTGCCACAAACCAACCTGGATGGATTTATTGAATACTGCCTGGTTGAAGCTGAAAGCTCGGGCCAAGAAAATTGCTCATAAGGCAGCCAGTTTGTATCAAGCCCCAAAGCCTGTACGAGATACATCGACTGCATTAATGAAGAGGAGTTTACCACAAATGCCCACCTCAGTCTTCAACTCAAATACCTCCAAGTTAGATCAACAGGCTAGCCATAACAGTGATGGAGCAAGAGGTAACCAACGAACAGGATATTGTGCTTACTGCAACAAACAGCATCACATTAGCACATGCTCGGAATTCCACAAACTGGAAAAGCGCAGGTGTTGGAGCTGTGAACGAGCTCATACTGCTAAACAGTGTAACCTGAAGAAGTTGTGCATGAAATGTAACAAACTTCACCTCACCATACTACATGATGCAAACAATCACATCAAAGAGAGTTTCCAGCATACCAAAGTCAAGCAACTTTTTGTGGATCAGCCAACCAATCCAGCAAGCATCATACTGAAAATAGTACCAGTCATTCTCCATGGTCCTACCTGCAGTTTTCAGACTTATGCTATTCTTGAAGATGGGTCCATGAGGACAAAGATTATTTCGTCTACAGCAAATCAGCTTGAGTTATCGAGGACACCAGCCAGCATTCTTCTGTCTACAATCCGGCGTGGAAATTTTGACTGCCATGGCCATTCTGTGAGTTTTGACATTTCCACGCTTGATCAGCCAAATGAGAGATTCACAATTCGAGATGCGTTTACTTCTGACCATATTGCACTGTCTGAATACTCCTATGATGTTGATTCCCTTCAAAGAGAGTACCCTCATCTCCAAGGTTCAGCCCTTCCCGACATACACAATGTATGTCCAACCCTTCTAATTGGCTCTGATAATGCCAACCTCATTCTTCCAGTTGAGCCGGTCAAGTTTGCCCCTCCAGGCACACTGGTCGCAGTGTGTACCAAGTTTGGATGGGCAGTACAGGGACCCACTCAGTTGCCAGTCAGTAACGCCCATACTACTTGTTTTCTCACAAGCCTGCCAAGGGACAGTGAGAAATTGATGCATCATGTTGAGAATCTGTGGAAAATGGATACATTACCCTATTCAGGCAAGCAGGTCATTAGGTCAAAGGAGGACAAACAGGCCTTGAGTATCCTGGATAGTGAAACAGTCAAAATGACAGTTGATGATAAGATCCACTATGCCACTCCACTACTTCGACGGAACAATGCTGCTACCCTTTACGAATGCAAAGAAGCTGTGATGTCAAGCCTGAAACGAACAGAAAAACACCATCTGAACAAACCAGAATTGTCCACAATTCACAACAATGATATCCAGAAACTTGTCAATTCCAACTACGTCAGAGCGATCAGCGAGGATGAAGCAAATAAGTCTGAGGAATCATGGTTCATTCCACACCATATTGTGGAGCATAATGGGAAATCTCATCTCGTTTTCAATTGTTCTTATGAGTACAAGGGAGAAAGTCTTAACAAGCAACTGATACCAGGCCCCACTCTTGGATCTTCTCTACTAGGTGTGTTGTTGAGATTCCGAAGAAACAAGATTGCTATCTCAGGTGACATAGAAGCTATGTTTCACCAAGTTTGACTCCTGCATAAAGACCAGCCATTACTGAGATTCATTTGGCGACACATGAACACTGACATTGAACCTACCATATACCAGTGGCAAGTTTTGCCATTCGGTACCACTTTCAGTCCGTGTTGTGCAATATACACACTGCTGAAGCACGCCATAACCTACAAAATACCGATTTGTCTCCTATGACACACTGAACATGAAAGCAGTATATCAAGTACTTGCCACCCAATATGATCCCATTGGATACCTGACACCATTCATTGCCCGTGCCAAGGTATTGATCCAAGACATGTTGAAATCCAAGGGAACCTGGGAAGATGAGATCAGCAATGGAGAACTTAGAGAAAAATTCACACAATGGGAATCAGAGCTTAGCAGAATCTCTGAAGTTCACATGCCACGCTGCTATGTACCTCCTGCTTTTGATACCACTGAAACCCACCAACAACTTCATGTCTTCTGCAATGCCTCAGAACGAGTTTATGGCTCGGTAGCTTACCTCAAAACTGTGAACCAAAATGATGATGCCTGCCTGAGCTTTGTAGCTGCAGGGAGCCGTGTTGCTCCTATGAAGCAGATCTCAATGCCAAGACTGGAGCTGTGTGCAGCTCTGACCGGAGCCCAACTTGCTGATACCTTAAGCAAGGAACTGAGCCTACCTATCAGTGATACCTACCTCTGGAGTGATTCTACAACAGTTCTCAAATGGTTACAGTCTGACTCCTGCCGCTATAAGGTGTATGTTGGTACTCGTGTCACCGAGATCCAGTCATTGACTAAAGTTGACAATTTGTCCTATATCAACACAAAAGAAAACCCAGCCGATGAAATCACAAGAGGTAAATTCCTACATGAACTGTGCATTGATTCCAGATGGAAAAGTGGTCCATTCTTCCTCCTTGGTCCCTCTGATCAGTGGCCCTCATATCCTCCTACATCAAGTGATAAAATCACCATGAAGTCTGAAACAGAACTGAGAAAGACAGTTGTGTGTCAAGCAAGAGTTGTGAACCTACCAGACGTTTTGAAGCACTCTACATTTGAGTCATTAGTCAAAGAAACTGCACATTGCCTTGATGGGGCGGCTGTTGATACCACACAAGTCACAGTAGACTGTATGGAACTTGCCGAAACTGTGCTATTACGTAAGGTACAGGAAGAGAGTTTTCCACAGGAACTAGTAGCACTGAGGTCAGGAAAGTCTATTCTCTCAACAAGCAAGGCCCCGTTCCTCAAAGCGATCGTAATGCTACAACAGTCGTAAGTCTATGTTAAAGTATGGGAGTTACGATCAACTTTGCGCTACGATCGCTTTGAGGAACGGGGCCCAGGTTAATAGAATTAGCATCAGAGTATGATGCAGAGAATGATATCATCCGAGTAGGTGGCAGACTGAGGCTAGCAGATGAAATACCAGAAAATGCCAAGCATCCAGTTGTGTTAGACCCAACTCACACAATCACGAAGCTTATGATCAAGGACTTTGATGGTAGACTTCACCATTATGGGCCTGAAAGACTACTTGCAGAACTATGCAGAAAGGTGTGGATCCTTCGAGGTTGAGAAGCAGTCCGGAAACACCAAAGGAAGTGCATGGAATGCCAGAAGATACGAGCAAGCCCAAAGTTGCCCAAGATGGCAGATTTGCCAATAGCGAGACTTCGACTACATAAACCAGCCTTTTACACTACTGGAGTTGACTGCTCTGGGCCTATGAGCATAAAACTGGGTCGTTGACAGGATAAAAGATGGGGAGTAATCTTTTAATGTATGATGACTAGGGCAGTTTATCTTGATCTCCTGGAAAGTATGGATTCGGACGCTTTCCTGATGGCAGTGAGAAGATTCATCACACATCATGGTAAACCATATGAGCTACTCTCAGACTGTGGCACTTACTTGAAAGGTGGAGAGAGCGAACTTCACGATGCATTCACTGCAATGAATCCTGAGATTACCAGCCAGCTGTCCTCAGAGAGAATCCGATTTTGGTACAACAAGCCATATGCTCCACATTTCGGAGGCCTGTGGGAGCGGGAGATAAGGTAAGTGAAACAGGGACTGTATGCCATATTAAGGGAGCAAACCGTCACAGAACCTGTGCTTAGAACAGTCCTTGCAGAAATTGCCTCCATCCTGAACTCAAAACCTCTAGGCTATGTGTCGAGCGATATAGCTGATGTTGACCCTGTCACCCCCAATTCACTCTTGCTTGGAAGATGTGATGCGTCACTCCCTCAGGTAGTTTATCCTGAAGATGAATTGCTTGGGAGACCTTCATACGCAGATATCTGCCATCACTACAGTCTCGTGGTAAATGGCAGAAAGATCAGGACAATGTAAAAGAAGGTGATGTAGTTATGATCATGGACCCCCAGCAGATACGTGCCATGTGGTTGGTCGGGCGAGTCACTGACGCGTTCAGTCGTTCAGGAGAGTGCGCTCTGCCAGCGTCAGAGAAGAAAACAAGACTATCGGAAACCAGTATCCAGATTGGTAAAGCTGAGTGAGTGAAATGCTGAAAGACTATCAATGTTGAGATGACCTCGTAATAATGTCAAGATGACATACATGACTAAAGAGTTTTCTTTTTTTCAAGTATCAGCTCAGAGACTAAAAGCTGAAATTTTCAGTTGTCTTTTGATTCAAAATGAAAGACTTGTAGTTTGAAATTAATTGATGCCATGCAGCTGTATTTGATACCTGAACCTATGAATTAAACTTATGAAACCAGAACCAGCATTTACTATTTTTCACAAATGTTTTGAAACAACTCCTTAATACATCAACAGCATTACGTTTTGAAGACATTACCATATTATATTCAGGTTTCCAAGCCTTTTGAACGAACTAAGGTGTGATAATTGGTGGGAACAAGCATATAAAATCTTTGCTATATCAGTCATATGTCATTTCCTTTAGAACTTAAGTAATGGCCAGAAACATGTCTTTTAACTTAGCTAAAAAAGGAAGAAATATTGGAAAAGTTATCTAAACCTCTTGAACAAATAGGGATGACATCATTGGTGGGAACAAGCACCTGCTACACTGGACAAGAGGTCATGGGCACTAGGTAGATGACAAACATACAGGCCATAACATAAGTTCACTTGAAATTCAGGTACTCATATTCAGTGGATAAAAATCTCATTTCAGTACTGCAGCTGTCAAAAACAGACACTGTAACTTTTGATGCAGGGAATCACATATATTAAAATTAATTATAAAATTTCAAAAGTAAAAGATATTGTGACATTTCAGTATGACTAGTTCATCTAGATAAATTTTCCACTACACATAATATCCAGAATGGAACTATTGAGTTTACTGACTAATAATATATTATGCTTATGGTTATCAAGAACACATATAAAATACAAAAATGTTTCAGGTAGCCATCAAATAAAAACAAACTCACTGGTGCTTTGGATCAGGCTTTGTCCCTCTGGCCCCTGTATTTGAATCCTGCTTGAAGAAAAATCAATTTCAGTGAAAGTATCCTTACAGAAGCAATAATCCCCAAAACGAACTGAACAAACAGTCATGTAAAATTATGTTCACAAGAAAATATTGTGACAGTTCACAACTTGAACATTGACTTTTACATCAAGGTACAGGTTATTGAACAGCAGTGAACTGTTTGTCAAACATCCATTTTAATGACAGTATGCATGATACTAATGTTCAGTAAATATTCAACTCTTACATTAGTTACATGTTATGTCCATAACAATATATATATGTTATATTTAATTTGTTATGATTTTCAAGAAATTCATTCAGTTGTAACTTTGCAATAAACATTTTTACTTACCCAAAATATCAAAGAGTAGGATAATTTGCAAGGTTGCCTAGACAGTTTTGATGAAAGAATCACCTTCAGCAGAGATGCTAATGGCTTCACAAATACTTGATAAATACTTTATGGATACTTACAGTTTTCTTTCTGGTAGGTTTGTTTTTGTTAGTGTCTTTGGTCTTCTGCCTTTCCTCAGCTTTTCCATTATTTTTTTTACTCTGGCTGCGTGTTATAGCACCTTGGTTTTGGCTGTTGCTGCTACCTTCCAAAGTGTCTTGCTTACCACTGTTACTCTCCCCATCATGTTGAGAACTGGATGAATTTGTTGTGTTAGCAGTTGCCGCTGGTACTGTAACCTCATCAGGGGTACCAGTATCTGGTGCTTCATCTACGGAACTTCCATCTCTTGTAACATTCTCATCATGTTTGCTGCATTTCTGTACATCTTCATTTGTACCATCAGAATCTTCACCTCCTGCCTCTTTAGGACTGTCTGTCTTTGAGTCATCACCTGTGATTTCGTGTGTGGAATCTGCACCAGTGCTTTCTGGCTGACTACCACTGTCCGTTTGCATCTGCTGCCCTACATGGTGATTTCCTTCTGTGTTAAGATCTGTTTCCGGTTGAAAACTGTCTTCATCTTTGCTGCCATCATTTCCACTGCCACCCTCTGATGGTTCCACTGAACTTTCTGTAACATTCTCATGTTTTCTGCCTTTCTCTACATCTTCATTTGTACCATCAAAATCTTCACCTCCTGCCTCTTTTGGACTGTCTGTCTTTGAGTCATCACCTGTGATTTCGTGTCTGGAATCTGCAACAGTGCTTTCTGGCTGACTACCACTGTCCGTCTGCATCTGCTGCCCTACATGGTGATTTCCTTCTGTGTTAAGATCTGTTTCTGGTTGAAAACTATCTTCATCTTCGCTGCCATCATTTCCACTACCACAGTTTGATTGTTCCACTGAATTTTCTGTAACATTCTCATATGTTACTTCCGATGACTCAATGTTATTTGGACTGGTACACAAAACTTTGTCATTCTCTGGAACATTCTGATCACTGACTACTGTAAATAAAAGGCAATAGTTTATGTAAAAAGTACTATATACATACATCAAAGAAACATAACATGATGAAAGATGGCTATACTTTCAGAATAAGACTGCAGATAACTGTTTTCTTTAATGAATCTATATCATAGAATATTCAAAGTTACACAAAAATGGATACATTTAATGCTGCCACACATCCCAATTTTGACCCCCTCTAAGGATTGTACAGAATTCAAGGGATATTATGAGCTCAACAACCTGAGAGGATGCTTTCATACTTTCATAACAAACTGCTAAGGGTAATATATGTGTATGCATATAGTCTATAGTCTTCATAAAACTTATACCACATATTCTAGGCATATTGTTTGAACCTGAAGAGATGTTTTCACATAGTTTCCACAAATTTCAAGCTTATATACTGTGCATGATGCCATGTCTTACAGACATGCTTTTGCAAAGTCTTCAATATTTTAACAGAGTATGTCTATTATATTCAGAGCTGTGATTTGATGACAAAGGTCATTCGGCTCTTCCACATCAAAATGGAAACCTTACTTCATTCTAGAGGATAGCTTTCTATGGACACCATCTCAACATGAGAAAAACATGTCTACATTTTTAAAAGGGAAGAACAATTCTACAAACATTATGTAAATGTGATGCTGATTTACTGCTTGAAATAAAAAAGGTCTTTTGGTCTAGCATATGACATAAAACTCACGAGAATAGATGTTGAAATTCCTAACTTTCAGAAAAATTCAGTGTTTAGAGATAGTTGTGAACACAAAGACAAATGTTTCGTTAAGGAAAGGAAAGTATTTAAATATGTAAAATCAATTTACCTGTTGTGATATCATGCCCACACTGGTTACAGAAGTTGTCATCCTCTTTTAGATATGCTTTACATGGGGAGCCATCTTCATTTTTCCCAGGGCATTTTCTTATGGCTGTTTGAAACAAAGTTTGTTCAATCTTCAAGCCACACTTTCTACAGAACCTGTCATCAGAAGATATTTCTGTTCCACATTGGTTGTTCTTGCCAGGGCATGGGATTACAAGTCTGGATGCCTCTGGTTTTGTGCCATATCCACAGTCTGGACAGAACCTGAATGTATTCTCTTGTGAGTAATCACAAGGAGTGCCATCTTTCTTCTTCCCCGAACACTTCATTCTTACAGGTGATCAATCTGCAATCAAAGCTCATAGTATCATTTCTTACTTTATACAAAATCTGTCAATAATTAGTCTCTATATTTAAATATATCAAATTTGTAATGACATAATTACTGTAGAAAAAAACAAATATAAAAAGTTTCTAGAATGGTTGAACTGCAATGCTCTGTTAAAGTTTGATTGACAGTGCCATGCACTTTCTTAAGTGCTGGACATATCTCATCATTGGACATATTACCATATAAAAGGTTGTTTTTTGTCATGTGCAGTGACCACAAACAGTATACAATACCTTTGAAGAATTATCATTTAAAAGGAAGAATTATCATTTAAAAGATTAACGGGTAACTCTGATATTTTTTCAGTTTTCATTCATAAGGTTATTTTTCAACTCAATGACTTACCATACTTACAGATATTAATGTTGGACTATCTCTAAAAAAATGGCATCTTTACCTCTTCACCTACAGAAAACTATGTTCATAAAGAATATGCTTACAACAAACTGAAGGATACAATGAACTGGATCCGGTTGTATCATTGCTTCATTAACTAACGTCAACATTAAACCCTAATGATACATTAAATCCTTAATGCATCATTAGTTAATGGCATCATTAAAAATGGTTGTATCAAACACTTATTAGCATATCATTATCTAATGACGTCCTAATGTAAATATTTTCATTAAATCCAGGGATTCCCCTATTTTTTTCCCACAATTCCGCGCTGTAAAACATTTAAGTGTTACTCTCGGTCGTCTGTCAAAATGGCATCTTTAGGGCTAAACCTCAGAACAAAAACGAACATTTCGACTGCTGTGAAGAAACAAGTCTAATTAATTCTGAAACGTTGCCGATAAACCTAGAATCGGTTGGGATGTTTGGGAAAATACACGAACACGAACGCCGAAGTGAGTTTTCCGTCATATTGGATAGTGTTTACAAAATCAAGTTTCGCTAAGGCCAGTCATAGAATGCCTATTACATCATGTATATTTCATATTCAGTTGTGACAAATGCATCGCTGAATTCCTCATACATTTTAGAATCAAATTCCAAATGGTCTTTGTCACTAAAACCAAGTGTCTAAGAAAAAATGAAACATATTGGGTGTGAAAACGGGACGTTGTGCTCATTACACAGCGCTTGCTAAAGTACTGTCGGAAATGCTAGAAAAATGCTTTTTGACTTTTATTTAAAATTCAGAGGTATTACAGTTACTTAAATAACAAATATCACTTCAAGAAACATCTACCTAATGTAGACCGAGGGAATAAATTTTGAGACATGCTCTAAAATGTGATTTTACTGATGAAAATACCAAAAACTCAGAAAAATAAGGGGGAGTGGGACATTATTTGATACAAACATTAACTGCCTGTGTTACGTCATCAGCATGCACGGTATCGACAGGTGAAATTGACACCTAAGCACACGCTCGGGCGAGGGATCATCTCAATATATGTTTTCTGCAAAATGTTGAATATGTGTACGTATAGCATATGTATCGGTTATGAAAGGGATCATTTGTGTATGTGTATTTGTTTTGAAATAAACATCTGAAGATTACTGTACATTGGAAAGAATCCTATCACTTGTGTTATCTTATCGATTGATTGTAGAAATGTGCAACGTTTTAATAAATGTTTTGCATGTCAACAGTACATTTCATTGAAAAAATATGGATATAATTCGGTCAGTTTAAACTAGTTGTGAACATTGGCCAAAGATTTAACAGAAGTCACTGGTGTAGCTTCTTTAGAATATATATATTTTTTTCTCTCATAAAGTTTGTAGACGCCGTACCGTCTAAGCACTCCCTTGTCAAAGTTGTCAAGGATGGTTTTACGTCCCGGTTTTGCATTTGAGACGGTCCCTCTCTTGTCTGATTTGTTTACAATATTGTAAACTTGTTGGTAAGACATGCCAACAGCTCTACAAGATCTGTAATAAACCCTTTCTAAACTAATGAAAGGTTTACCTGTGTCTTTTTTAAGCAGAAAAAAATTATAAACCTTTGCAACAATCGACTGCAAATCGTTGACCATAGTGGACGCTGTGATAAAGATGTGCATGCATGACGGGAAACTTATTTATCAAGACTTAACATTTATATTAATATTTCTTCGATAAAGAAACGATAATTAAGTAAAGTAACACAAACATTCAACATTTATTTGTTTAGGAAAAATGTTAATTCATATTTTTACACCACCTGTATTATTAGCATAAATGTGAAGACTATTTCAGATTTCTGTTGTTGAACTCTGAAAAAATCTTAAGTTGCTGTTTTGGTACCAAATTCTCTCCTGTAAACTGCCCTTTAAATGCATGGGAATGTTAAATCGGTTGACATAAAAAATAGGTAGACAATAGACGAGTTGATATATTGACAACATAGTAAATGTATCACCTTTATAAAGATATTAAGGCTAAAAAGCATTTTTCTAGCATTTCCGACAGTACTTTAGATATATAAACAAAGCGAAAATCAGATTTTATACTGGGCAGCATTTTTCTCAAGTTTTTAGACATCAGTTCGTCTATTAATAGCATGCATGAGCTCAATATTTTTAGAATATGCACAGAAAGAGTATTGCAGCAAGAACTAGAAAACTTAAAACAGATACAATACTGAAATTTGATATATTCATACGAAAGTTCTGTGCAGCGTGACGCCATGCGAGACACAAAATCATGGAGAACGAAATAGGCAATTATTGGCATTTCTGACTTTTTCAAAGAAAACAATAAAAACAAACAACCATACGCAGATAGTCAGAATGTTTCCGACTACTAACATCATACATTTATGGACAAAGGTTCCCTCGCAAAATCGTGGGTACCCATATCCACGAAGCCACCATTTCATGAAAAATCTGTCATCGGTAGTGATGTCATACATCAACATTGTTGGACATGTGTGGCAATTTCTTTGAGGTGAAGGTCGGTTGAATAAGAGTAAACACAATCACACTGTCCTGCGGATTACACTTGTATTATTAATGTATACTTTGCGTATCATTCACACATGGTTTCATGAAACTAATTTCATTATGAACATTTAGTATGTTAAACCTAAGTAAAACTGACATAATAAATAAAAATGATTTATTTATTTCATGAAATGTATATATGCACACATTTTGAAAGGATATGTCTTGTTCTTTGAATTTGTTTATGTTGTGTTATAGACAAAACAATGGCGTATAATCATTGGCCAGGTGTGCGTTTATCACAAGTGTTTTGAGTATCATTGTTTTCGATAATTCCGTGAACAAAACATCACGAAAATATTGTGTCTTTATTCACAGCAAATTCTCTCCAAGTGATCTGAGTCACAATGACTTAGTATTAAGTTATTAAGCATAGCGGAGTGATGACCCCTTATCTTGTATGGGCGTATGACCTTTCTGTAGCCATTTGACGTCATAGTGGAAAATCCATTTTCAACATATATTGCGAGTCACTATTAAGATTGAGTTTATAACGTTATACATAAGCACACAAACTAATTTATTACATACCTATGTCGTTCAGGTATCAGGCAGAAGTTTGTTCGCTCACACTTTCCGTAAAGATGCCAAATTGAAAATATAATAGCACAGTACTTTTATCAGTGCACGATAAGAAGAGAAATTTAATGTTTTTAACGCAAAACAAAATTAGGCGTAACATTTAGCCATGTCTACTTTTCAAACTGAGTTTATACCATGAGATAGGACATTCAATACTCTACATTTCTGTGTAATTTTATAGCTGTAGGTAGATCCAGTGTTGCGCAAACGAAATTCTGGCGCAATGTTCACTTTTCCAGGAAGTTTAATGACGCTCTAATGATACCCCAGGACCTTCATTAAGTTAATGATGCACTAATGACAACAGGGCGTCATTAAAACCTTAGTACAACAGAATTTAATTACTTCACCAGTCAGCCTACTAAACCATCCATGGCCACACTTGGCAGTTCAAAGTGTTCGAGGGCAAGTGATTAACCAGATCAGGTAATGACACTCTGCACTCAGTTTACACCCTAAATTCAATTCATGATGAAACAGTGATTAAGCTATAGCCCTTGAGATGGATGTATTTGTCTATATCGGCAGCTGATGAGAATATCATCATAGTTGAGTCACAACATCATCAACAACACGAAATTTATAGTTTGGCATGAAATGCATGTGGACCCGTTTTTTTGTAAATATCTCTTCATCCAATGATCCAATCAATCTCAAACTGTGCAAGTAGATGTTTTGTCAGACAACCTAATCACATTGTAAATCACCGATTTTATGCATTTGTATTAAAGAATCTGTCCATGTAACTGTCAACATGGCTTCTCTGTGGCCTACAATGACCTAAACATGCTCTATTGGATTGAGATCAGGGACTCCTGGTGGGCCCATGTAGAGTTGCTATCACCTCTTGATATAAGAAATCACCAATGGTACCTGCACTGTGTGGCCTAGCATTGTGTTCTGAAGATGGTCATTAAAACATGTGATGCACCAACCCTGTCAAGGATGTCAGTGATGTACCATTATTCATTCAGGTTAAGATTTTGTGTGATCGTTACAAGGTCAAGTTTACAGCCACCTGAGAGGCACTCATACACCATTAATGAACACCTGCCAAATGGTAGCTCTAAGATATGTTCCTTGGCTATCTGTCTATAACTTCTCTTGCAACAGCCCTCAATCACATGCTAGCAATATCTTGCCATCTTGCAGCATTGAAATCATTTGATTTTCAAAGTTATTCAGCTGTAAGAACAGTTTACTGAAACCTGCTTCATGATGGGAACACATATTGCATGTGATCGCCTTTAATGGTAGCACATGTATATCTTATATATGGTGGGCCTGAAGGGTCAGAGTAATCATACAAACAAACTGTATAAAAATGAGTACATGGTGAGTAAAAATCATAGGTGTTGTGGTAGGTTGAATTACTAGATTCTTATATTCATATTGCAGTGTTCAGGTGTCAAACAAAACTGTTTTTGTTTCATA